GTGCGTGACCCCATACCTGTAAGACTACCCATACGAGCCGAAGGCCCAAGGGCAATACTACAACGCCTAAAAGCCACGGAGAAAAGGAAAAACACCGCACATCAGCCCAGACTAGCGTCCAAAGGGGGTAATTGAGTTTCGGTGAGCCCACATACGTTCCAACATCCTCGCCAGGCGTGCGGGTTCCCATTGCATGGCCTCCAACATACTCTGTTGATGATCGAATCCCTCTTCAGCACGAATATCATTATAGGCTGGGCATTCCAATAACACGTGTTTTTCATCCTCAATTCGGCTATTAGGACCACAACAGTGGCAAAACCGCTGCCCCCTGGGGACATGGTACTTGCCCCTTCGTGCTCTGTTCGCCTCCAAAGCCCAGCAACATAAACGAAACTGCATTAGCTTACGATGTGCTAAACGAGGAATGAAAACCTTAGCATGTGTTGGCCACATAACGGCTGCGGCTCCCGAAAAGGGCAGCCCCATCCAGTGCTTATACTTCGCCATTTGCACTCCCGGTTGCTTCCCATCTGATGGGTACTCCTCTGGCAAGACAGTCAGGCGCGTATGGTCCCAGCCGCTCATCAAACGCTCTCTTAGTGCCGTTATTATCACTCCTTCTGGTAGAGGTCTACTCAACAACCAGTCAACACGCTCCTTTACCCCCACGACTTCTTGCGGTATTCCGCTCCAAATATTGCATTCCAAGAAGGAAAACAGTCGTAACATTGAGATTCCCCAACCCTCCCATTCCGGGTTGGTCAGGGCATCGGTTATCTCCTGCCGTAAAACTGCATGAGCAATGGATCCCACTTGCTTTTGAAGGCGATCGCATATGCTTGCAGATCGCATATGCTTGCAGATCGCATATGCTTGCAGATCGCATATGCTTGCACATCGAATCTGGCATATGCTTGCAGATCGCATATCCTTGCACATCGAATGTGGCATATGCTTGCAGATCGCATCTGGCATATGCTTGCAGATCGCATATGCTTGCACATCGAAGGTGGCATATGCTTGCAGATCGCATATGCTTGCAGATCGCATATGCTTGCACATCGAATCTGGCATATGCTTGCAGATCGCATATGCTTGCACATCGAAGGTGGCATATGCTTGCAGATCGCATATGCTTGCAGATCGCATATGCTTGCACATCGAATCTGGCATATGCTTGCAGATCGCATATCCTTGCACATCGAATGTGGCATATGCTTGCAGATCGCATCTGGCATATGCTTGCAGATCGCATATGCTTGCACATCGAAGGTGGCATATGCTTGCAGATCGCATCTGGCATATGCTTGCAGATCGCATATGCTTGCCGATCGCATATGCTTGCAGCTCGCATATGCTTGCAGGTCGTATATGCTTGCAGATCGCATATGCTTGCACATCGAATGTGGCATATGCTTGCAGATCGTATCTGGCATATGCT